CGCCTGCACCTTCAACCCCTTCCTGCGCCGGACCGTAAGGTTTGTGGGTACGTTGTGCCGCAGCCCGGGCAGGAGCCCTGCCTGCCGCAGGGGCTGGAGGGGACGCAGGGGCACCCTGGATGCGATAGCCGGAATGCACAGCCCCACCCAGGCCGCAGCGACCGCGCTGGACCCTTCCCAGCGCCTGTGGGTGCCCCGGGGCTGGGTGGGCCTTGGGTGCCCTGTATGGGACAGGGGGTGACTCCTGCCATCCCCAGGCGTCCATGTGTTCGGGCTCTGTGCCACGGCCCTGGTGACGGACGTTATCCAGCTGGCCACCGGCTACCACGCGCCCTTCTTCCTGACCGTCTGCAAGCCCAACTACACGCTGCTGGGCACCCCCTGCGACACCAACCCCTACATCACCCAGGACATCTGCTCGGGCACGGACAAGCACGCCATCCTCTCCGCCAGGTACGTGCCGGGGGGAGACCCGTGCCGCAATGCCAACCCTCCAGCCCCATCCCAACTGTGCTCCCGTCTCCCCCGCAGGAAGACTTTCCCGTCCCAGCACGCGACGCTCTCGGCTTTTGCTGCTGTCTACGTGTCGGTGAGTTCCCGGTGCTGCCCAGCTCTCGGCCACGCATGTGCCGGCTCGGGGGCAGCACGAGCGCTGTGCCGCCGGGCAGCAGCATCCCTCTCCTGTCGGCACACAGCCTCCTGTGCACAGACAAGCTCTGCTCGATGCCCGTGTGCCCGTGTTGGGGCGTGGGTGTGTACACACCCCTGTGCGCAGCGTCTCACCCATGCACGCTCAGACACTTGCACCCAAAGCTCTCTGCATGGCCGGTGGCTGGGGAGGGGGGAGGCTGCGGTGCCGTGGTGGCAGCGGGTGCCGGTGCCATGAGCCGTGACTAACAGCCTATTCCTGCTCCATTGTCGCCACCGCCAGATGTACTTCAATTCCATCATCTCGGACAGCACCAAACTCCTCAAGCCCATCCTGGTCTTCGCCTTCGCCATCGCCGCCGGCATCTGTGGCCTGACCCAGATCACCCAGTACCGCAGCCACCCTGCCGACGTCTACGTGGGCTTCCTGATCGGCTCCGGCATTGCTGCCTACCTGGTGGGTGCTGGTCCCTGCTCTCGGGCGGCCGTGGTGGCTCAGGAGGGAAGGATGCTCAGCATGGGCCGCGGTCCCCGGGGCTGGGCTGACCCCGCGCTCCCCCTCCCGTAGGCTTACCACGCCGTCGGCAACTTCCGCGCCCCAACGGAGAGGGTCCCGGTGCCAGTGCCGGCCAAGGACGCGCTGCGGGCGCTGACGCAGCGGGGCCACGACTCCGTCTACCACCAGAACAAGTCGGTGAGCACCGATGAGCTGAACCCGCAGACACGGCTGGAGGAGGTGGCGCGGCCGGTGCCACGGGAGAAGAACTCCCTGGGCAGCCTGAAGCGGGCCAGCGTGGACGTGGACCTGCTGGCCCCCCGCAGCCCCATGGGCAAGGAGAACATGGTGACCTTCAGCAACACCCTGCCCCGTGTCAACACGCCCTCCATGGACGACCCCGCGCGGCGCCACATGACCATCCACGTCCCCGTGGACGCCTCCCGCTCCAAGCAGCTCATCACCGAGTGGAAGCAGAAGTCGCTGGAGGGCCGGAGCATGACGCTGGCGGAGGAGGCGGCGCAAGGCCGGGGCGCAGGGGATGCTGGCGAGGACGTCCCCCCCTCCCTCTACCCCACGGTGCAAGCACGCTCAGCTGAGCGGGCGGCCATGGGGCCCCGCGTCCTCATCCAGCCCCGGCCGGGCGCCTCGCAGCTGGTGCACATCCCCGAGGAGAGCCAGGCGGGCGCCGGCGTCCCGGCTGGCAGCGGGGCGGCCGTGCGGGCCAAGTGGGTGATGGTGGCGGAGAAGGGGGGGGCGCAGAGGGGGGGCAACACGCCGCGCCCGATGCAGGG